AATACCAGCTTTTAGAAGGTTCATGAAATATATTGCTTTGTACAGTTAAGCTAATAAATTTTTAATCAAATATGAAATTTCTAAAAGTTAAAACTCAAGTATTTGTTTTTTATTAACTTGAAAAAAGTATTCGTTATATATCCGTTAATCAAATACCCATCAACTCATACTTAAAAAAATACCCGTTAAATATCAATACAATAAATATCATTTGGACGAAACATTAAGCAGTTAATTTTACATTTTACTTAAAACTTTTTTTATTTATAATATGGGTTCGCTTTTTATGGAGTCACTGTATATAAGTTATCTGCAGTAAGTTCAATACGATGTCATTTTGGGACGAAAATTATGGTGTTTTTGTAATTTTAATTTATTTCAGGGTTATTACAGTATTTATAATTATAATTTTTAATCTTTCAATTCCAAAACGACGTCATTTTGAGAGTAAATGCAGATAACTTATCTGCAGTAACTGTAGAAATATTTTTCTGTTATAATATAGACCTAGTTTATATGAGTCATTGATACACGTGGATCAAAGATTAAAGTTAGGTGTAAGATTATTCATTCTTACACTAATATAAGTTAATCAAGTCAGAGTATGTCCCTTCTTTAATGTATAGTAGCTGAGCATTCATCACATTTATTGATGTATCAATCGTGAACAATCACCTCAATAAATCCTCATACTCATTATTATAGAAGAAGGTTAAGGGTTTATCACCCTACTTATATCGAGAAGAAAACTCTTGTAAAAGGGTCAACTTAGCTTGTGAAAAAACCTTCAAAGAGAAGACATCCAGAGAATAATGCTGTAATCTCCAACAAGAAGAAGAGAATAACGTTGTAATCACCGTAGCTGGTGAAGTTTTAGTGTATATCTAATGTAAATAGGGAAGTTTAAATAATTTGTAATCCTACTATTTATAAAGGGAGATTTTTTTAACTAGGTCATGTAATTTTTACTTCTCTGCATTAGAGAAGATTTTTCACATTAAAATTTGATGTATTTTACTCTTCATATCTCGTTTTTGCACTTTTCTTTACTTCTGCAATTTGGTTGACCTAGTCATTTTAGGCCGACCTCCTAGTGCCGAGTTGCAAGTTCAACTTGCTGACCTACGAATTACTTCTACACTGATTAAAGGACCATGTCTCAACAAATTATGCCCCGAATAAAATTAGTATAAACTCCTTGATATTTTACAAATTATCGTGCAGTTTATATATATATATATATATATATATATATATATATATATATATATCATTCGGTATCCGATCGCCAATTGATACTAACTAATATGGATTTGAGTCGAGTAGGATTACGATAAAAAAAAAAAAAAATTCTTTCAAGTTTTATCATAATTGCATACCGTGAATTCGAAGTCAAATTGTTATCTTTTTTTCTCTTGAATATTAATGCTCTACCCTGACATTTATTAGATAAGCCAAGATAAAGTTACTGAAAAATATTAATATTTATTTGATTTTTAATATCTAAATGACATATTTTAAAACAGACGAAGTATTTAAAAAACTAATCAAAACTTTGGAAAAGAAAATATAATGCTAAAACACATAAAGAGAGGTTCTTAGGTCTCATTTTTTCAAAAATGGTTTTGATACTGCATTTAGGTATTATTTGACTTAGGATGTGCATATTTAGATTAATTATTTTTTTAAAGAAAAAATGTGTATCATTTCAAAGGACATAAAGTTGTGTCATTTTAAATGAGAAAAAGAGATAAATCATGGAAGAAAGAGTGAGGGAAAAAGTTTTAAAGATGTAGATCTCATCTCTTTGTGAGAGTGAAAGGATGTAAGGTGTGTCATTTAAAATGACACATCTTTTCCTTTTTTTTTTAATTCCATAAAAGGTGGGTTGTCTATATTGTTCGAATTGAGGAACTCAAAAAAATAATTTCTAAATTTATTTATATACAAAAATTAGTTCCTAAATTCATAAAACTATTATCAAGTTTATTTTTCTTTTATCTCCTTAAACTACTAATTTTTTAAAATTCATAAAATGATTGTCCACCATTTTTTATATATTTACATTTATTTTACTCTAAGGATAAAAATGTTTAGTCAGAGACTAGAAAATTGATTTTGGAGCTATGCGCTCTCTTATATATTTATGAAGGAGATATTTTTAACATAAGCAGATCACCGTTCACAAGAATAATGACGTAGCCAAGGAGATAATGATATATGTGCACAATGACAGCAAGTAATGAGAAAGTAAGTACCGTATATATATATAAACTTTACTTTTTATTTATAGAAGTTATATCTGGTTAATAAAATTTCAAACTTTTAGTACTTTTTTGGGACCTAATACTTGGTTCATTTCAGTAGCACTAGGATTAGTATCTATTAAAAATTCTTTCCTCTATTTTATTAGTTTCCTTTCTACTATTATCCTTCTTAGTCTTTCTAGAATATGAGCACATAACAAGATTTATCTGGTAACAGTTGAAACTCTCGTTCAAAGAAAGGAAACGCGACCTTGAAAAAAACTAATGTTCGGTTATTTTCAGTCAAAATTGCTTATATTTCTAAAATCATGTTAGATCATAAGCAATTTTTTTTAACTTTTATGTTAAATTAATTTTTTTTAATAAATTTACCTTTTTAAAAAAAAATCAAAAAGTTTACAAACCTTTTCATTATAAATTCACTTATGGTTATTTTCGGATCTACTTGTTACGGTTGTTGTAGCCTTAGCCTATTAGTGGTGACTCATCACCACGAGCTTCCCCCTGGACCCGTATGACATAAATAAACTTGTAAAATGAAATTATCTAGAAATAATTTTACAAACTTTGACCCAAATATACTTCCTTACTGAATCAAATGTTTTCCTTTATTAAAAAACCTAAAATTGATTAATTTACCCTTTGTTTCCAAAAAATATTGATGAATTTATTTTGTATCAACAATTATGAAATCACTTTCAAACAAATCATTTTATCATAGAGATAAGTTATATTTATCTTCTCTTTTTGGACATTACAGGGAATCGAACCGCACACCTAATACATCCTAAACACACCCAACACCACTAGGCTATCCTTAGTGGTGCATATTTATCTTCTCTTACTATCAACTTTGTTATCGTTGGATCAAAATTAATTCAAATGTTATAAAATAACATTAAGTGAGAGTTATTGATTTATTTTGATCCAACAATAATATGATTGATTGTAAGAGGTGATAAGAAAAAAAGTTGGTAATTATATATAGCCTCCCCTTTATCATAAACTAACTTTAAAATAAATAAAAAAAGAGAAAATATTTATCATTTTAAAGGATATAATTTTGTGTCATTTTAGATAAAAGAACGTCGTTTTAGAACATATAAAAAATTATTAATTATGCATTAAAACATCGTCATTTCATAAAAAATAATATAAAATTATATCTTTTAAAAGGACAAGCATTTTTTTCATGAAACAATTACAAAATCAAATTTATCTGAAATTAACTTTTATAAACTCAAAACGAGACACAATTTCGGGCTCTTTGATCCATTGGGTTTTTTTTTTTGAGGTTTTAATTTTTCAATCTGATATTTAATTTACGGTGTTTATCAATTGGGATCACTGAGTGACGCGAGGGGGACCCAGCGTCACTGAGTGTCGCGACCTTTCCCCGCGTCTCTCACATTTTTTTTTTCAATTGAGTGATGTCCCCTCCCCTGGGGCACTCATAGGATTGTGCCAAGTGACACAATCTCGTTAATCTTCTTATCGCAAAACTTCAGAAGACCATAATTTTTTACTCGGGTATCAAAATCAGATGATTTTTTTATTTCACATAACTTTTTGAGATCTACGCAATGACATCTCATTTGACATATTTTATCTTCCATTAACATAGTTGAAATTTGCAACAATAATTCCACTTTTTTTAAAAATACTAACTATATTTGTGAGAGACAAAATATATCAAATGAGGTGTCATTGTGTAAATCTTAAAAATTTATGTGAAATAAAAAAAAAATCTGATTTGGATACCCGAATCAAAAATTATGGCTTTCCGAAGTTTTACGATAACGTGACTAATGAGATTGTGCCACTAGGCATAATCCTATGAGTTTTTCAGGGAAATAGAGCGTCACTCAATTGAAAAAAAACAAAATAATAATAATAGAATGTGGGAATGACGCAGGGGGAGTGTCGCGACACTCAGTGCCGCTGGGTCTCCCTCACTTTACTTAATGACCCCCATTGATAAATACCGCGAATCAAATATCAGATTGAATAAAGGATAAAAACCCCAAATGGGTCAAAGAGCCCACAATTTTGTTCCTAAATCCCTCCAATCGGGTTTATTTATTTATTATTTAATTTGTTTTTTGCAATCAGATATTTTTCCACTTTAAAAACTAAAATTGTTGGATTTTTCTTTTTGTGGTACAAAAAATTGACGAAAATAGATTGGCTATAATATTTCTACATTGAATGTAGATAAATTATCTACGTTCGTTTTCAAAATGACATCATTTTAAGTTGAAAAAGTAAAAAATTATAATAAAAAAACTACTATAACTTTAAAATAAATTATAAGGGATACATTATTTTACCTATTATTTTTCTGTTTACCTTTACGTATCAGAATTTTAATAGGAGAGAAAAATGATAAATATAATTGAGATTTTGATCAAATGATATTAGAGAATGGTAGATAAAGTAGGCAAAAAAATAATAAATAAAATAATTTATCTCAAATTATAATTATAAAAATACCTTAATTTTTATATTAAAACGATATCCTTTTTGGGCTCAATCCCATATATTTTTTTATAATTGATTACGATTTGGTAAATAAGTAGAAAAGCGGTGGCTATATGTAAACCAGCGGCGTTCCGACCTGCTTATTGCCGTATTGGCTGTTACGGGTCCCACCACTATTGTCATTCTCTCAGTACTCTCAAATAAAAAGGTATCTTCCTTCTTCTGTTTCTTAACTCTCTCTCTCTCTCTCGTCTCCCAATTTCTCAAATTCCACCAACACTACTCTATTTTCCAATCCTTATTTTCTCAATTATTTCTTCACACACACAAACACTAGTAAACGTTTTCTTCAAGCAAACCAAAGCAATTCAACTTTTTCTGATCAGGTATGATTTCTCTCTCTTTAGCTTTCCCTTTTGCTTATATATGATTGTACATGTGTGTGTTAGTTCAGTGAGATCAGAATCTGTTGTTTATATATGTTGCTCTAATTTATGGTTATGGCTGGTTCTATATGTTGTGCATAGCATAAAACATTTGAGAATATTTCACTCTGATCAGAAATATTGTTGCATCTTCAACGGTTTTTTTTTATCATTATTCTCTTATTGCGATTGATCGATTATGGATTGCGCTTAGTTTCGTGTTCGATCTTCATTTCTACCTTCTATTTGTTTCCTTTTTGGAAAGTTCAACTTCAAATTTTTCTTTACTCTAAAACTTCATCACAATCTTTGCCCTGATTTCATCCACTAGTTTGGTTTTGATCGTCATACCTGATCTGGAGATATCAATCTCTGTAAAAGTATCATCCGTTTCTGTTGAGACGTTTCAATAAAAATTAGAAAGAACAAGTCACTGCTAATCCAAGAAGCTTTTCATTTAATTGATTCTTATGTTTTGGCTTTTAGGCGTTAGGTGGTGATTTTTCTAATATACGTTATGCATACTTTGATTTTGATATCCGTTTAGATCTCATTTAATTAAATTTACTGGTATATGTACTGTATAAATATATTCAAATGGAACTTGATGTACTTTGCCTAACAAAGTAAAAGGTTATTTAATACAAAAACAAAAGAGAGGAAGGACTAGTACTGCTGCCACTTTGTTTTGAATGTTTTCTCAGCTCTGCCAGCTTCACTACTGTTTGCAATTTTCTATTCTTAAAATTCAACATTAGCCCTACTTTTCTTCGTAAAACACGAATATGTCCTTCACTTTTTTCTTTGTCTCTTTTTTTAACTAAGAAGGATTATATTTAAGGAAATTGAATATATTATTAAAACATAAAAAAAAATATGTATTTCCAAAAAAGAATTGTCATAATTTAAATGACTACTTAATATAAATAAATATTTCTCCAATATTTAAGTTAAAAGAAATAATAACTTTTTGTGGTTGAAATTATTAAATAACTACATAATTTATTACATCGTAAAAACAATTAATATTATAATTATAAAAATATTTTTAATAAATTAGTAACATGTATGCATTTTTCTTTTTTTAGCCATTCTCATATTAACATAGTCTACGCATTCATTTTTTACATAACTGATCGAGTATGCAAGTATATTTTGATTTGCATAATGACTGATCTTTTGCATAATAATTGATCGCTCTGATTCTGAATAGCAGATTTTTATTTATGGTTGATATTTACAAAGTTCTATATCAATATTGTAATTTTTTTTATCTGAACAATAGAACAAAATAGCAACACAGTTTTTTTATATAAATATAAGGCTTGCATTGTGATTAACCAACTACAGCGGCAGTCAAAATTTTTGATCTTTTTCTCCCTTGCACATGGGTAATACACTTTTAATTTATTAAATTAAAAACTTAAAAAAATTGCAATTAAAATTCCAAACAAAATTCAAATTGTAACCACGAGAAGTGCGCAGATGATTTGTCATTAATGAAAAGGACGCAAATAACGCGCTTTTACTTTGCTGAATATATATCAATTAAAAAGAAAAAGGAAAAAACTTTGCTGAATATATTTGTTATATAAAGGGGAAAAGTTTGGTGGGGGGTGTGGTAGCTAACATCAAAAGTGGGCTGCTCACACACCTCAGGTAATAAAGTTTATTATGGCAAATTCTCGTTTATCTTTGAATTTTAGATCTTTGGGTCCCATGATGTCTAAGTCATACCAATTTTCCAGATGCAACCTTCTTCCATATGGAAAAATTAAATGGTAAATTTGATTTTTGAAGAAAAGTAGGAAATAGAAAGAATTTTTTTTGAAAATAGGCCCAAAGGTGGGAAGGTGAAAAGAACAGGAGCTATGATATTTGTGTAGTGGGCTGAGAAATGTCTTATGTGTAGGATCGAGCTGTAACACAGCATTTAGGGACCCAGATAGGTGGCATCTTCACAATACCAGTAACCACATCAAGTCTTTTGCAAGGGTTATTAAAATTATTATTGTCAGTACTACTTTTTCCAAGACATGTTTAGGAGAGATTCTTGTGTATTATGGCAATCAGACATAATAAATTAATTATATAACATAAAAATTTATGTAATTTTTCAATATTAATGTACTCAAATTATCCTTTTTTTAGTTTTAAGATTTTTCTATGATCATAAACAAATTATTCCCTTATATTTCAGTACTGCATCTGCGTACCTTTTGTTGTTATTCACCCTTTTCATGAGGTGTCATCCTCATGCCGGTGCACGTTTTGACCAGGGTTTGGTAGCTGTCTCTGGTTATATTTTTATTTTTTCCTAGGGATGAGATCGATGGATATCTATCTAGCTATTATTATTATTATTATCTTATATAAGTGGATTTTAATAATAACTTTTTTGTAAGATTTATTAACAAGATTTGTACCACTCGAATGTCAATTACTTTAAATAATAATAATTTTTGTTGGTGTATATTTTATTTATAATTTACTTATCTCGTCTTTTAGTAGGAATAAAAAATATAATCATCTGTCACTTGAGCTAAGTTCGGTGTCCAATTTATCATCACATATAATGGTAGGATTTAGGAAGATATTATAGAATATAAAACAAAATTTTTGTTCAAGTTGCCATGTCTCCAGTCCCTTTTTAAGAGTTGGAATACCCTGAACCATTTTAATTAGAGGACCAAGAGTCTTAGAGTTGATTATTTATGAAGTTTTGATTATTTATTTTTTAACTTATTCTTCCATTTGACTCGAAGGTCACAAGTTCGAGTTGTGTAATGTGTTAACTGCCTATTATAATATGATATAGTGACCTTATCTGAATGTGCACATAGTGTGAACTTTACAGTATCAATTTACCTTTGTTTATACTTCCATGGTTAGGAATACAAATTATAGGATTTTTTATTGGGCAATACTAGATTATTTCATTGATTTGTGGAGAAAATTTTAACAAGTGACATTTTTCAATAATAAATCTCATGTTTGTAGTGAATTAATTTATTCTGGGTCATATTTTGAAACTACGGTTACACTGAATTTACAAATGAAGGTGGCCTTGATATTTGAAACTAATATTCTCAGGATTCGACTGTTGTATTGCAACATGCAATTACTCCAACATCTGAAACTCAAACCAACAGTAACTATTTTAGAATGGAGCTTATACAATATCTATAGAGTCCCTTAAACACCCGACCTCTCAACTTTTCAAAACAACAAACTTCAGTTGTTAAGCTTGAGATGTAGTTTTTTCTTTTCTTTTCTTTCTTTCTTTCTTTTTTTTTTTGGGTGGGGACGGGTATTGCGTAATGTTCTTATTTGTATGGTATAATAATAATAATGTTCTGGTCGCCCCCCCTTCTCTCTCTTTTTTCTTAATCTATACATGTTCTTTCCATTTCCATACTTCCTTTAATATATTATCTATAGGGATTGTGATTGAGTGCCTTTACATCAATAGCAAAGCCTATCCAACTAAATACATCTACAATCCTGATATTTCTTCTTTTCTTCTAAAGCAGTCAATAGGAGGAAGCAAACATGGAAGAAGAGACAAAAGTCATTTCAGAAGTTTCAGCGACAAAGATAGTTGAGGCGGAGGCTCATAAGGATGATAACATTAAGGTATCATTGTGTGGTTGCATTCGTTATTTAAGAAGTTGCGTACTGTATAAAGTACTAAGTCAGAAGTTCTTTACAAAGTTTCCTTTTAGCATAATTTTCAGTGTTATAACATGGATCAGTTGTGGATATATTTATTGAATCAACATACATTTGTATACACCTATTTTCAGTTAGACTCGACTAATTGTGTGTTTGGAAATGATATTGAATTAAGAGGATGGGAGACGAGGATTGAATTGAAGGACAGAGAAAAGAGAGATATGTCATTGTGCTGGTTTTATTCTATATACTTGTTTCAAAATTTATAAATTTCAAATATAGTTGTATTAGAGATAGAGAAGTCATAAGATTGTTTTAACAATTGTTAATCAATTGAAAGAATATAGATTTCAAGACCATAATAATGCTGCTTAGAGCTTCTATTTCACTTTTTTGATAGGACAATCCAATCCCTGTCGTGATATGTTTCTAGCTTATGATGCTTCATTTAGTTGACTCTTGAATATAGTATTGAAGTCTCTTTTTTTTTTTGTAACTTGATCACTACATGGACTCAATAAATTTACACATTTCATAAAAAGTATAATTTATAACTCACCATCACTTGGTCAGCAGGGACACTTCTGACTTACTTAGGTTGAGATGAACAAGCTGCAGCTTTGGATCAAACTGCTTTTGTTTCCTTATACTTACTAAAGGAAAGTTTTTTTTTTTTTTAGTAAAAAAAGGAAAGCTTGTAACTCTTAATAGATGATTTACATGAAGTCTTTTACCATAAGCCGGAATGCTTAAATGTTGCATTTCTCAAATACATTGGTAGTCAATAAGTGCTTAGTGCGAACCATAATATTTAGTTTTCGTTATAGTTTCTGTTTATTATTATTTTATTTTTTTTATGATTTATTGTAGGAAACAAATGGAGACCTGCCTCAAGTACAAGGCGAAGGAAAGAAAGAAGATGAAGAGAATGCCTTTGATGGGGAATTCATTAAAGTTGAAAAGGAAGAGAATGCCTTAGATGATAAATCCCACAAAGCTGAAAGAAGCTCAGATCCTCCAAACAGAGAATTTCTAGAAGCACAAGAGAAGATACAGGAACTTGAGGTTGAATTACAAAGACTAGCAGAATCTTTAAAGACCTCTGAACATGAAAATGCTCAGCTGAAGGAAGAGATCTCAGTTACAAAAGAGAAATTGGAGGGAAGTGGAAAGAAATATGAAGAGCTTGAACTGAATCACAAGAAATTGCAAGAGCAGATTATTGAAGCTGAGAATAAATATAATCTGCAGCTCAGTACTCTTGAAGAGGCACTACAAAGTCAAGAAGTGAAGCAGAAAGAGCTTCTTCATGTGAAGGAAGCATTTGATGATATGAACCTTGAGCTTGAAAGCTCGAGAAAGAGGATGCAGGAATTGCAGCATGAGCTGAAACTTTCTGCAGATGAGGCACGGAAGTTTGAGGAGCTGCATGAGCAAAGTGGTACACATGCTGAATCTGAGGGAAAGAAGGCCTTAGAATTTGAGAGACTACTTGAAGAAGCCAAATTGAGTGCAAAAGGAATGGAAGATGAGATGGCTTCCCTGAAGGAAGAATTGAAGGGAGTTTATGATAAGATTGCTGAAAATCAAAAGGTTGAAGAAGCACTTAAAGCAACTGCAGCAGAACTCTCTACCATCCAAGAGGAGTTGACACACTCAAAATCCCAGCACTTGGAAATTGAGAATAAACTGTCTTCGAGGGACTCTTTTGTAGATGAGTTGACTGAGGAACTAAACCTCAGAAAGACTTCAGAAACACAGCTAAAGGAAGACATGTCAGCACTTCAAAATCTATTTGCCTCTACAAAGGAAGAACTGCAGGAAAAAATTTCTGAGTTGGAAACTTCAAAGTTCAAGTTTCAGGAGGAGGAAAAATTGAGGGAATCAATTGAAGTTGCATTCATGAGTCAGGAAGCACAAGTTCTCGCCATAAAAGAGGAACTGACTAAACTTAATATTGAAAAAGAAGGCCTTGAAGAAAATGTGGAAGATCTAACCCGTAATGCAAAGCAGCTGAAGGAGTTATGCACTGATTTAGAGGAAAAACTAAAGCTTTCAGACGAAAATTTTCTCAAAACAGATTCTCTTTTATCTCAGGCACTTTCAAACAATGCAGAGCTTGAGCAGAAGGTGAAGTCCTTGGAAGATCTCCATACCGAATCTGGAGCTGTTGCAGCTACTGCTAGTCAAAGAAGTCTTGAGCTTGAGGGACATGTTCAGACTTCAAATGCAGCTGCAGAAGAGGCAAAATCACAACTTAGGAAGCTGGAAACACACTTCATAGCAGCAGAGCAGAGGAATGTGGAGCTTGAGCAACAATTAAATTTAGTACAACTGAAAACCAATGATGCTGAGAGAGAAGTGACTGAATTCTCTGAAAAAATTTCTCATCTCAATGCTAAATTGACAGAAGCTGAGGAAGAAAAGAATCTCCTTGGTCGCCAACTGCAGGAGCACATGGAAAAGGTAATTCAACTTGAATCTGACTTAAATCAATCATCTAGGCAGAGTTCACAATTACAGGAAGAGCTGAAGATAGTCAATGAAAAATGTTCTGAGCATGAAGACCGAGCCAGTATGAACCATCAGCGTAGCCGAGAACTAGAAGATTTAATCCAGAGCTCTCATTCCAAATTGGAAGATGCTGATAAGAAGGTGAGTGAGTTGGAATTGTTACTTGAAGCAGAGAAATACAGAATTCAGGAACTCGAGCAACAAATAAGCTCATTGGAAAAGAGATGCAGTGATTCAGAAGCAGATGCCAATAAATACCTTGACAATGTATCTTATCTGACCTCAGAACTTGAGGCATTTCAAGCACGAGCCTCAAGCCTTGAAATTATACTGCAGGCAGCTAGTGAAAGGGAAAGGAAGTTAGAAGATTCTTTGATTGTAGTTACAGATGAAAAAAAAAGGTTAGAAGATGCTTCAAACAGTTTGAATGAGAAGCTTGCTGAGGCAGAAAACTTGTTGGAAATTGTGCGGGATGATTTAAATATTACACAAGTTAAGTTGCAAAGCACTGAAAGTGATCTTAAGGCTGCTGAATTGAGAGAGAGTGAGTTTATAGAAAAACTTAAAGCTTCTGAAGAAAATCTTGTCATCCGAGGAAGAGATATAGAGCAGACTGCTACGAGAAACTCAGAACTTCAATTGTTACATGAATCTCTGACAAAAGATTCTGAACAGAAACTCCAAGAAGCTCTAGAAAGATTCAACAAGAAGGATTCTGAGGTTCAATCTCTGCTTGAGAAAATTGAGATTTTGGAGAAATATATGGCCGAAGCTGAGGAACAATCAACATCTTTGAAGAATGAATTTGAAGAGAGTTTGATCAAACTGGCTTCTTTGAAAAGTGAAAATGAAGAATTGAGAAGGCAAGTTATAGAGGCAGAGAACAAGAGTTCTCAATCTTTTTCTGAGAATGAATTATTGGTTGGAACAAACATTCAACTGAAAACCAAGATTGATGAACTTCAGGAATCATTGAACTCTGCTCTATCAGAGAAGGAAGCCACTGGTCAAGAACTTGTGTCTCATAAGAACACTCTAGCTGAGTTGAATGATCTACAATCAAAATCCTCTGAAATTCAATGTGCAAATGAAGCTCGCATCCTCGAAGTAGAATCACAATTACAAGCAGCATTGAAGAGACATACTGAGAAGGAATCAGAAACCGAAGAATTGAATGAGAAGCTGAGTACACTAGAAGGCCAAATAAAGTTTTACGAAGAACAGGCACATAAAGCAGCCGGACTAAATGAGGAAAATTCAAAGCTTAAACAGGAAATAGCCATGTATGAATCCAAATTAAGTGATTTACAGTCAAAGCTCACTGCTACACTTGTTGAGAAGGATGAAACAGTTCAAGAGATACTCAACTCTAAGAATGCCATTGAAGAATTAGTGACAAAGCATAGTGCAGAAGCGCAGACATTAAAATCACAGGTACATAAGATATGGGCTATACATACTGATATTCCTTTCTTTTTCCTACCTTCTTCTATTGCTATTTGTGGTAATATAATTTTCTGAAATAAACATTTCGTTTAAAACCATGATAAGTAGAGAGATGATCTCAGAATGAAATGAGATCATCTTGCAGATATCTTCAGTAATAGATGAGAAGAACTTGCTCAATGAGACTAATCAGAATTTAAAGAAGGAACATCTGATATTTGAACTAAATTGTCAATATACTATACATTGAAGGAGTTTGTGTGATTAATCTGATGTTATGCAGGTTGGAAGTATTCAAACTGCTGCTTCTCAAAGAGAAGCAGAATTAAGTTCAAAATTGGAAGAATATGAGCAAAAAGTTCATGATAGAAATGTGCTGAATGAGAAGGTTGTAGAACTTGAGAAAGAGTTGCAACTTGCACAGGCTACTATTGCCAACCAGGTATGCTGATTCACTTCTTACTCGAATATACTATATTCTTTCAAGGTTATAAGATATGTTTAAAAAAAAAAAAACGAGATATTGATGCTGCCTCTGATATTAAATTAATCAATTATTCATTGTAGGTTTAGATCTTGTATTTTTTTTTATCAATCTACGTGATATTGTTTTGCCATTTAAAACATCCTTTTTATTTTTTTTGGTTGCTATTCCTTCAAGATCTCTCAATTTTCTAGTAGGGGCAGAGCTATGTGTTGTCTGAGGGGGCTCCCAACAAAATTAATCTTTCCCACTTTACTTGTAATTTTTTTTATTTTTATTTTTAAAAAAAAAGAGATATTTGAACTTAGTCCTCTTATCAAGGGTGTTCTTTCTCTTTGGCCACCCATATTTAAACGATCTATGTTTGCTGAGATTGATATAAATATATAACTTATATAAGTGATTTGTGTCATACTGATTTCCTTTTCTTTTCTTAAAAAAAAAAAACAATAAAAACAGAAAGGTGCAGAATCTCAGAAGTTGGAACTCGAGGCAGCCCTGAAGAATTCTCTTGAAGAAGTTGAAACTAAGAAAAAGGAAATCTCTGTTCTACAGAAACAAGTAATAGATTTAGAGCAGAAATTGCAACTGACTGGTGATAAAATCTCAGTTAAGGTAATTCTTCTCCCATAAGTTCCCAAGCACTCCTGTTTGTGTCTGAACAGATGGAAACCTTTGCGCATCATGTTAAAGTTTCTCCGTGTCCTTGCATTATTTCCTCGTAAATTTAAAATCAGAAATGACAAGATTTGCCTTCATTTCAATTTTAATTTTATTTAAAGGGTTTGCCACTTTTCCTGCCACTGCAGATGGAAAATTTTGCAGCAAACACATTTACACTAGGATCTGCCAGTGGATCCTAGCATCTAAAAGAAAAAAAAATTCCAAGATCCGCCCACGGATCCTAATGTAAATAAGTCTTGCTGGAAAATTTCTCAAAGCCTTATTTAAATTGATTTTCAGTGTTATGGTTTTGATTTTTCTTCTCTGTCCTTGTCTTCATATAAACTTCGTCGAGGGAGTGGAGGAGGAGCCCAAAGAATAACTTATTGGGTTGATGTTTGGATAAATATTGGGCTTTTTGGTTGAAATATATATAATATTGGAGGATGTTGAAATTTGAACTCTTCACTCAGTCAAATTAGCTATTTTAGCTTTTTGAAGTATCATTTAAAGGTGATCCCAAAAAAAAAGTATCATTGATCTAAAAGTTAAAAAAATCATTTAGTAAAAGTAACTAATGATTTCTTCATCTATAGGTCTAGGATTATTCCATTTTGTTAATAAAATTTCATGTTTGTATTTTCTAATGATGTTCCAGGGTGATGAGGGTGCTGATCAGAAAGATGGGTTGGAAATCAAATCCAGGGACATTGGATCAAGCCTCTCGACTCCATCAAAAAGGAGGAGCAAGAAAAGGTCTGAAGCAACAACTGCTCAAACATCATCGTCGTCCGAGACAAATGTTCCAACTGTTCAGGATTCGCCTGTCATAAATTTCAAGTTCATCTTGGGAGTAGCTCTTGTGTCCATTATCTTTGGCATAATTCTTGGGAAGCGGTACTAGAATCTACAGTATGTTTTTGGGTTTTGTTATTCATCATGGTTTCTCCATTTTATTTTATTTTCACATTTCTTATCGGATTGAAAGCTTTCTTTGCATGCTTTCAAGCTCCAGTCTTCAGGTTGGTCAGGGAACTTGTTTTCATTCCTATCCCTTGCCCGTGTGCAAAAGAAATGGAGTTTGATTAATGTTCTATTTTAACTTTTGGATTTTTTTTATAACTTGAATGCGAGGTGTTTATGATATGGAGCACATTTTTCTTCTCAGTTTGTGTCTGAGTGAAGGAATTCGGGCAGCTAGAAAACTTGTACCTACTACTGTGTATAATATTCTCTCTCTCCTCTCTAATGTGTATAATATTTGAAAAAGGATAATTGTATTTTGCATATTATAAAATATTCAAAAAAAGTTAAAAGAGCCTTACAAAGAAATATATTTCATTATTTCTTATAATATTTTTGCGTCTTTGTAGTAATTATTATTTATGTGAAGTGTTAAGAGTTTATAGGATGGATTATGTACTATTATTTTTATTATGATTGCTATTTTATAATATCTTTTGAATGTACTAAGTAATTATTAATGATATTTTAGTAGGACCTGAAATATCAATGTGGAGATTGATTCGAAACCGAATCAAACACTGAAACTTTTGGTCGTTTGATTTCTAAAATTTGGGAATTGTGAAAAATGATTTGATGACAATTCAACTCGTTGCTTGGACAATCTTCTTCTATCCGAAAATGATTTGATGACAAATCAATTGTGAAAAATGATTTGATGACAATCCACACTGAACATTTTAGCCATCCAATTTTTTTTTTAAATCTCCACTGCTAATGCATATTCTCATAATTATGTAGCAATTATAGGTGGATGTATTGTGCAGCATAGCCTTCATCAGTTCATAGTGACTGGACTACGGTGTAAGTTTTCTGACCAAGATGGCTCAGCAAATTAAATAGTTTTTTTTCTTCTTGTTTTCCGGTTTTGCTTTGCACATGAATCATGACATTAATTTATTCAATTAATGTAAAGGTTGCAATCATCATAACATAAAGGTTGGTGCAATTTGTTTGGCACGAGCCATTTGGTTTAGAAAACAAGGGTTATTTTCTGGATGGCCACGACCCAAGAGTGATTTTTGCCGTCAATTTGAAAGTTGATTTGTTGAATAAGTATCACGTGAATATTAGAATGATTATATTCCAAACAGAACGATAAAATAGAAGTGGGGAAGTTTTTGCTCAAGAATGTTCACTTCTATACCAGGCAAAGAACACAAGTCTTAACTTACATGTAGGGTCACCCTGTCTAGCCCAAGGGGTTCTGTACCCCCGAGTAAAAAAAAAAAAAACTAGGTACGATCAAAACAGCTAAAATACTCAACACCATTATACCAACTTATTTTTTTTTTTAAAAGTTACACTCTCTTTTTCTTAAAAAAATGTCCAAATTATACTGTTATTATATATATATATATATATATATATATATATATATATATATATATATATATGATATGTTTTAGTTAATTTTAATGTAAACGAAACATTTAACAATAATCGACAACTAGGAATAGCCTTGCAATTATATTTTTCCTCTTTTTATGTGTCATCGATTATTTTAAACACTCCTATTAGAATAAAAATTTTATTACGAGACTTCAATTAAATTTTTTAGTTTTCTTAAAAATATTAAAATTAATATTAAAAGTTCAAAACTAATTGTCTATATTGTTGAGAATCATAAAAAATAGAAAACTCGTTAATATTAAAATAAAATAAAGTACAGTATAAATATAATTTAACGATGATGGTTTTTTCGAAATGTAAGAGAGAAATAAATTTTTTCGAAATAAAATTAAAAAAAGATATTTTAAGTACCTCACAATAAAATCAAGTCAAAAATTTATAAAAAAAAAAAAAAAAAAAAACAAGAAAAGCTATCATACAAAGTAATAATAATCAAATGGTCATCATCAATTTGTGAGTATTATAATAATAGAAAAGATGTTGGATAGTTAAAAAAACGAGACGTATCATTGTCTGCCTGTCCTACTCACAAAACAAAGGACAAAATTGGATGATTAAATTAAAGGATTTTTGGCACACCCAAAGTCCCAAGCATCAAAGATGACGTGATTATGAAACTAATCTTGTTTAATTAATCCCTAACAATCTAGTGATCACCATCATCAATAACATGGTATAATAATAATGTGGCTCAATTACGTGATATAAAACGATGGTAACGACATATCCAAAACAAAACGGAGCACCCAAAGAGGATAATAACACCCAAACTTTTTCTGGGCTACAAAGTCATCACCCTTTCTGTCTCCTTCTTTATTTTACTCTCTCATTTTTTATTTTCTATCTCTAAATTTTCTCTCTCACCAAACATTACAATCCTTTCTCTGACACATTTTCCTTGTCTTTCCCTCTCTGTTTTGTCACTTTATCCCCGAAAGTTTCCTCCAAAGCTTTCGATTCTCTCTCTCTCTCGTCTCTCACCGATCATGCTTCAAAGTTTGGTCCCTCGACCTCCTCTCAATTCCAATCCTAACGCCATGAAAACGAAGCGCGCCGACCGCGACCGCGACGACGGCGATTCCCCTCCTGAGGAAGCCTCCTTCAAGCGACCGAACTCCGGCGAGAAGACGGTGGTGGAAAGCGAGGGACGCGAGGAGGAACAAGCCTTCGAACCTGAATCCGAAGGCGAGTCTAGTGGCCTCAAACTCTTAGGGCTTTTGCTCCAATGCGCAGAGTGCGTCGCCATGGACAACCTCAACTTCGCCAACGACCTCTTGCCGGAGATCGCCGAGCTCTCCACGCCGTTCGGCACGTCGCCGGAGCGCGTCGGCGCGTACTTCGCTCAGGCGCTGCAGGCGCGAGTTGTGAGCTCCTGCCTAGGCGCTTACTCGCCGCTCACCACCAAATCGGTTGCCCTAACTCAGTCGCAGCGAATCTTTAACGCGTTCCAATCCTATAACTCGGTCTCGCCGTTGGTGAAGTTCTCGCACTTCACCGCGAACCAGGTAATCTTCCAGGCACTGGATGGCGAGGATCGCGTCCACATCATCGACGTTGACATCATGCAGGGACTTCAATGGCCAGGATTGTTCCACATCCTGGCATCACGCTCGAAGAAGATCCGCTCCATGAGAATCACCGGATTCGGATCCTGCTCTGAGCTGCTCGAGTCAACAGGGAGGAGACTCGCCGACTTCGCGAGTTCGCTCGGTCTTCCGTTCGAGTTCCACCCGGTGGAAGGAAAAATCGGGAGCGTGACGGAGGTGAGTCAACTCGGAGTGAGGCCGAACGAGGCAATTGTCGTGCACTGGATGCACCATTGTTTGTATGACATAACCGGCAGCGATTTGGGGACGTTGAGATTGCTGACTCAGCTGAGGCCAAAGCTGATCACCACCGTCGAACAAGATCTGAGCCACGCTGGGAGCTTCCTCGCGAGGTTCGTGGAGGCCTTGCATTATTACAGCGCGTTGTTCGACGCGCTGGGAGATGGATTGAGTGTGGACAGCCTCGAGAGGCATATGGTGGAGCAGCAGCTGTTGGGCTGCGAGATCAGGAACATCGTGGCCGTTGGTGGGCCCAAGAGGACCGGTGAGGTTAAGGTGGAGAGATGGGGGGATGAGTTGAGACGGGTCGGGTTTCGACCCGTTTCACTCCGGGGCAACCCGGCTGCACAAGCTAGCTTGTTGCTAGGTATGTTCCCTTGGAAAGGGTATACGCTGGTGGAGGAGAATGGTTCCCTTAAGCTTGGGTGGAAGGATCTATCTCTGTTGATAGCCTCTGCTTGGCAACCGTCTGATTTGATTACTTACCACCCTGATTAAAATCACAGTTTACTTAAGCGTGATGATGATCCTAGTTTTGATTTCCTTTGTGGGGGAACAACCCTTGAATTTTCTCTCCCACCTCTGCTGCAACTTAAAAGCCCTGATGTGTTCTGAAAAATCATTGCAAGTTGCAACAATCAACTATGGTTCCTTAAAAAAAATTTATTTTTATAATTGTTTAATTGAATTGGACTCAGAAGCACAAAGCTTATTGTTTGGGTCCTATTACGTGGGAAGCCAAAGGAAGAGGGGGATTGCTTTTGTCTATTATACAATAATAATAATGATTATGGAGAAGAAAACATGAGTCCTTTTTGTTTATGACGTTTCCTTAGACCAATGTTTGTTAGGTTCAATAAAAAAAAGAGAAATAAGAATGAATGACGTCTACTGTTTCCGTGCAAAATTTGCCAACTGTTACAATGAGTTGTGGTTGTGGGTGGCTAGGGAAAGAGAGCAGACTGTGCTGTCTAGTGTCTACAGTCTACACATACATAGAAAATAAAATACTGTCAATTCTCATTACTCTCAGCTCTGGAGTCTGGAGGAGAGCGAGACTTGAGAGGAGAGGTCAGTTCAATTTTCTTGGTGGACCTAACTTCTCTGTTGTCTTCTGTTATTTAATGAATTATTATTACTCATTTTAGCAAAAAATAAAGAGGAGCGGTGCATAAATAATTATTATTCAGAAAATGTTAAATTATATTGAAATTTTAAACGAAATAATAACTCACGAGGACCACAGTCCGTGTACTCTTATTTATGGTGCATGGGTAAGTCCTGAAGTTAAGTAAAAATTAACTTAACAATTTTTTCAGATTGGTTTAGGTTCGATAGGTGGAGTCACTAGGGTGTGTATGACAATCTTCTCAGAATTAATTTTTTTTTAATTTTTGTTCTCGGGAACAGAAATGGATAGGAAACTCGTTTGATAAAATCGGTTTATTTTTTTGTTCTCGGGATGAACCTGTTTAATTGTTGTGTTGGGGAACAGAAAAAAGAATCAAAAAATTTCTGTTTTTTTTGTTCTCGGACACAAAATGAGAAACACTTATCTCTCTTAATCACTCTCCACCTCTACATCATCACCACCACCACCATCATCCCGACACGACTGTCGCCACCATCATCGCCGCTGCAACCGTACCACTAGTGTCGTCATCACCACCACAATGTCACCACCACTATTACCACCACCTCCACCCATCACTACCACCATGCCACCGTCACCACCACCACGACTACCACCGCCGCCACCACTATCACCACCACCATCACCACTACCACCATCATTGCAACCACTGTTGTCACCGCCACCATCGTCATCACACGCCACTGCCACCACCCCTATCGTCATCACTACCACCACCACCACGCCATCACTACCATTGCCGCAACCACTACCGTCACCACCATCGTCGTCGTCGTCGCTGGCGCCACCAACCACCACCACCATCGTCACCACCACCGCCACCATTACACCAACGCCACCACTACCATCACCACGTCATCGCCACCACCGCCACTGTCATCTACCACCACCGCCGCAGCCACTGGCACCACCACCACCACCATGCCACTGCTACCATTATTACCGCCACCAACCACCATAGCCACCACCATTGTCGCAGCCACGACCGTCACCTCCACCCCCACCATCCCCACCATTACCACTGCCATCGTCGCAACCACTGTCATCACAACCACCACCTCTATCTTCACCACGTCACTGTCACCACCACTACCGTGTCGCCGCCGCCGCCACCACAACCACACTATATGGAAAGGAAAGTGATGATCCGAATTTTTTTTATATTTAATAGAATTTTTTTTATTATATTATTTGTTGTGTTATCAAACACAATTCTCATTCTCAGAATAAAAATAGAACATGTTACCAAACATATTTTTTTCTCAGAAACTGTTCCAAGACACAGAAATAGAAAAGAATTATTTCTTTTCAGAAACATTACTCGGAAATATAATGGTTGTCATGCAGCCAAGTTGGGAATTTCGGGTTGTAGGAGTCATAATACTTTTGTTGCCATAACCCCCTTGTTTATTCTTTTTGTGTTTATTCATTAACAAATTTTAGATAAAATTATAAGAATCTCTTCAATCCAAACTTTATTTTTTATTTTATCTTTGCTTGGGAGGATTTTTTTTTTTTATAATATTAGCTTGGAGTATCTGAACAAAAAGTTGATGATTAAATATGCGAATACTTTGTGACTACACCCAGTAACCAATAATAGTTTGTCATTTTTACATCAATCAGATTTGTGTAAAGAAAATCATTACGTCAATCCACCTTAGGTATATATATATATATATATATATATATATATATATATATTCTAATATAACTTATATATATATATATTCTAATATAACTTTAAAAAATTGGTGTGTTTATAATTTTAATTTATTTTAGGATTATAATAATTTTTATTTTTTTTATTTTTTTTATTTTTCAATCAAAACGATATCGTTTTGTTGAATATTAGACAAAAATTTTTAAGAGTAAACATCATTTTTGGTCCCTGGCAATATCTACAAAATCCTTTTTAGTCCCTGGCAATAAAAAAGGACCAAATTGATCCCTAACAGTATGTAAGAAGGGCCACGTTATTGACGGAGGAGTTGACATAAGGACTAACGGCCATTTTTTCATAATTTTAGGGACCAATTTGGTCCTTTTTTATTGTCAGGGACTAAAAAGAATTTCGTAGATATTGCCAGGGACCAAAAAAAGTGTTTACTCTTTTTTTAAAATAACATTAGATATTTTATTTCATATATATATATATATATATATATATATATATATATATATTAATTAGCATAATTTTTTAAAGATACACCAAAACAATCATTTGGTTTTTGATCTTATGTAACAGTTACAATTTGTTTTTAATCTTTTGTAACAGTAATGTACCTAGCGTCTATATAATAAGGGCACATTTCTTTCAATAATAGCAGCTTTCAATAACAGCAGCTCTGATAATATATATTGAAGGAAATGCGTCCTTATTATATAGACGCTCAGTTACTGTTACAAAAGATTAAAACAAATTATAGCTGTTACATAAGATCAAAAAACAAATGATTGTTTTTATCCTTTTTCTAGTGGTGCACCATAAAAGTTACTACTTACAAATTACATGTTATTAATACTTATGTAAATAATTCAGTCAAAGATTAAAAGATGTAAAACCTCTCTCTCTCTCTCTCTCTCTATATAGATATATATATATATATATATATATATATATATATATATATATATTATTTCTTGCCTGTTGGTCATTAAAAATTCATGATACTTTTTGTAGAAATCAATTCGTGCAAAACAGCATTACTGATAATACTTTATTATGAATTCTTTTTGCAATATTAGTTTTTCAATATAAATTTACATGATCTAGCAGTTCTATTCTATGTTTGAATTTTGAAACTCTTGGAATATGATATAATTTTTTATTTTCATCCAATCACGTATTACTGTTCGTATAACAAAAACTTGCATTATTAATATTAATTAAAAAATTAGCAAAAAATGGATAATATTATAAACAGATGTACCATAAAATTATCTTTCTACATTTAAATATCTTATATAAAGATAATAATCAATATCTCATTACTAAAAATAAATGTAATCAAAAAAAATAAAAATAAATAAATAAATGTAAACCCTCGTTTAGGTTGGTAATCTTTTATAACATTGTAATGAACGTGTCTTTTCTATCTTTAAGAAAATAAATTTTAACTCATTTGTAACCTTAGATGGATCGGTCCAAAGAATAGAATGACGTGATTCCAGGCCCAATAAATGAGTTTAACTACCCCGAAAATTGTAGGCTTAGCAGGAACAAGAAACAAATGACCCTGAACTTTATCCGGAATCGGGATTATCACAAAACCAAAAAAAAAAAAAAAAGACACACACACACACAGACACGCATATAAAGTACAAACTAGGTGATTAAGCTTCTTTTTTTTTTTAAGTTAACTTAATCCTGATTATTTTTTGAGTCATATTGACTTTCCGTGATATGTCACAAATTTAAATTCTTTGAACTGGTTATATGATTAATCCAGAGTGTAGATACTAGCCAACTTTGTCTTATTTTCCTAGCTTGTGTTTTGGCTTTTTCCTATTACCCTGATCTTAAGTTTAATTAGCCAAAACTCAAAGCTCTAAAATACTGCAAATGCACTTTACACCCTGTTTGGTTTTCAAATTATGATGAACCATGTACTCTAAGCCATGTTTAGTTTTGGTTTTGGAAAAGAAAAAAAGTACTTACGGAAATTATCGACAGTACCATTAATTGGGCATTGAGAATTTTTTTTTTTTCGATTAAGGCATTGAGATTTTAATCTTGAATCAAACGATGTAAGTAAAAAATTATTTAATCAGAATCCATTGTAAATTTTTTTTTTTTATAAAACTTATTGCTCCAGATCAAGCAGTTACACAAAGGAAAAGCAAAATCATATGAATTATGAATGAAGCACCGCAAAATATTGATCCAATAATCTGAATCATCAATACAGTACGTCCTGTAATACCAAATACGAGCCACCAAAAATAACTTTCATATGCAAACTGAAAAATGAAAAAAGGAAAGAAAGAAAAATACATCATGTTTCAGAGCAATGGATTCTGTTGCATAGATGTAAACGATATAGTTATTGTAATTCATCATTTCATTGTATGGGAATCCTACGTGAATCATTTCCATTTCAGAATTGCACCGCTCCAAAATGACCTTTGGGAATTGGGATCACCTAGACAAAAAATACGGAATCCATTTTAATCATTTAGAAAATAAAGTTAATTTGTGATTCTTTTAAAATTTTAATTCTTTAAAATTGTGGTCCCACAGAAATTCAAATAGGATCCACATTAATATAAAAAATCACTTTCAGTTAAACCCGACTAGCTGTTGGGCTTCCTCCTTCAATGCTAAGCCCAAGCCCATTTGAAGGGTTTCCTAACCCTAACCCTAATTTCCACCTCCTCTATATATACTCATTGTTGTGGGTGGAGGCTAGGTTAGATTTGAGAGGTCAGATTTGAGAGAAAAAATTGTTTGATTGTTTGAGTAAAGCTTTATGCTTTGCATTTGAGAGATCTCTAGAGAGAGTTTGAGTGAAACATCTCTAGGGTAGTTTGATTATCACCATTGTTGGAGAGGTTGAGTTAACCACCACATTGGTGTATTTGATTATTTGTAACCATTATTTTCATAGTGGATTTTTGATCTGGACTAGGTCCCGG